TATATATATATATATATATATATATATATATATTGTTAGGATTATTTTTTATTGATGATGTGTGAGTCTGTTATACCCTAATAATACCTACCTCTTGCGTGTCAGAACTAATGTTTTCCAAGTACTCTATCTAATTTGAAACATGGCAAAGATTTAGGAATGAAATCAGAGCAGTGTCCTTCATCTAAGAAAATATAGCAGTGAAATATTTTGATAAGGCTGGAGCCATGGAGGTCTCCTCATCTTCAAATGTGTATGATGTAAGTGTGTGATGATGTAGCCTACTCGAGTTGTTTACAATGCTGCTTTAACTGTGATTCGGGGTCATCTTTAACTAGACGTGAGCTTGGTTGGTAAGCTCTGCTTTCTGTAACCCTAAGCAACATCTCTGGTCTGAGTAAGATTACAATTTCTGTCAAAATCTGTTTTTATGTTTCATGGTTATTCAATACATATATTTTAAGAAAAGTTATTTAATGAGTTTGTGCCGAGTGATCTCCTCTCACGAAAAGAATCGGACAGAGAAGGCTTCAAGGTGTAAACACAGAGCTTTCCATAAAAATATATATATATATATATATATATATATATATATATGTTTAAAGAAATTATTATTCTTCAACCTAAACTACATTCCTGTCACTATTGAAACACAACGGCCATCTCAAAAGCAGGAAATGCAAACTGTGTGCTGCCAGTCTTTGTAGAAATCCTAAGAGGTTTTGTTTTTTGTTTTTTTTTCTTTTGGCTGTACTGCAAAGTGCTAAAAGGTACCAACTACAGAGAAAACAAACTGCTAGCACAGCACCGCTGGTGGGAGGGAAGCTGATACTTGGTCGCTATTTTCCCCTGGTGAGATGGACAGAGACTTTTTGGAGAATCTCATGAGTAAGAAGAGGAGGTGTGAAACTTCTAATTCCCACATAGCTGCAAAGACAGTGTGTTTGTCACTAATGGGCACTCAAAATAGTGCTGGATGCAAAATATGGAGGGAGAGTGGAGCAGCCCAGCACATTGAAAACTAGAACAGAGAGGGTTCTGGCAGCCACAAACTCCTACAGGGAATTATATAAAAAAATATACACAGGGAGCCACTACTATATGCTCATTAAAATGCCCTCAGTTTCTACATGCAGAGGAGTTTTCTACCAGGGAAAACATCCAATAAATCAAACTTAAAGCACTCAAAACTTTATGAGGCTGCAAGTCAACACATTAATTTGTTTTGTTCCTAGTTGCAGATAATCAGTTCATCACAGAATGTGTCAATTACTACATTTACTGGCAGCGAATACTCTGAAAAATTCAACTATTCTCCCAATTACACCAGAGTACGGGGCTTTGTCTAATATGCTGTGAATGCCAGCTCCACAATTACATTTAGGAATGTGTCCCGCCTGAGAATCAGTGTTGAATAATGAAGTCAGCCTGCATTCACCCACATATCAGGCTCCGGGGAGTAGCAAGGTCATTTCAAAGCGTGGTAATTATCAAACGTGCGCTTCATAGGCTCCGAGTCAAATTTAATATCCTAAAATATCTCTCCTGTGTAAATTGTAACTGAAGTTAATAGCTGTTGGTTTCTGGAGAATATTAAAAAAAAAACTTAATTCAGGTTTTGATTAAACAAATGCATGCAATCTACACAATGAATATCCACAAACAGTGCTTCCACACAAAGGCTGCAAAAGGTCTGAGGGGAAGCATGCACTCTGGACAATACACAGACAGATAAAGCAAGCAACAGCAGACCACACTGAAAGTGTAAAAACATTGGATAGTCACCAGAGATTTACTAAAAATACATGTTCAATTTCCTGTAGGATCTCAAGCTCTCTAAAGACGTTTCGGACCTCATCTCTCTCTATGCACTGCTGTTTGTTCATGTACTTCATGGCGTACATCTTCTCTGTATCCCTCTTTTGCACAATGCATACCTGCAGAGAGCAAAGACAAAGTGGGGAGAAACAAGGGAATGGGACAGGTAAAAAAGGAGGGATGAAAGATAAGAAAAAATACATGTTAGAAGAATATAAATAGATTTCATTGGTTTCAAAACAAGAAAACAGTCAATAGCAGTCAGCTGGTGGGAATGGCAGGAATGGATATTTGCAGAGTATCATCACATTATGGATGGATGGATGGATGGTATTACATTTCCGTATTTATTAGTTTTCCTCATAATCAGACATGCAAAATAAACACTTATTCTGAAACCCCTCCTGTCCATGTGAGGTAAATCCTCTCCCTATGAAAATATTGCTGGGCTCAGCTGCTCTCATGAACATGAGTTTGTCAGATCTTCCAAATAAATCACCTTCTAATTTATTCATATGAGTTATGTGGGTTTTCCTGTCAGGGAGTGTCTGTGAAAGGTCAGCATCAGGACAAGACCCCAGAGAGGTGAAATCATTACGGTAATAGCACTGACCACACTCATTACACTGATCATGGGGCTGCTGCAATCACTGCCCTGCACACATACGATGTTGTCAGAGCTGCTTTTTCCTTTGATATTACCTATTGGTCTTTGTCCTAGTAGGTAAAAAACTTTAGATTTTTATTTATAGGAACTTGAAAATTATGGATTCTTTACCACATTTTAAACCACAATCAGTTGAGTCAAATCAATCTTTTCATTATCTATTTAAAAAAAGGTAATATTTAAGATCCTTTTGTAAAAAGACGAGCACACCCATCTCTGCATGGTTTAAGAGGACATCAAAGCTCAATTTCAAAAATGTCCATTTGTGAATAGTATTATTATCCTTTGTTTTCTTTTTTTTTTTTCTTTTAAACAATATGATTGCTCCTTCCACCTACTGCAGAACATCAGATCACTTGTTTGTGTCACGGTGTTGGTTCTGTTAAGTTTTCAGTTTCACATTAATTTTTTTTTTCTTTGTTTTATATTTTAATTGGTGTCAGGTCTAAGCACCTAAAACATCATATATACATACAGGGAAAGAAAGAAGGCACAGAGACATTTTATTTAGTTACTCACGATGAGAGTAGGAAGAGACTGCAGAGTTTACAAATCTCCACCCCACTCTGCCGTCTTCAGCTTTCTCCTCGCTATTTATTGAAGAAAGGGGATGTCCCTAATTACACAAGCTGAGGTTTAACTAAGGGGAAGGGAAACAAAAGGATCTTACTTTAAACCTCGGCACATATGTTAAACAAAGCATGTGGTTGTTTTACAATTGAATTGTTCCAAGAACAACATGTGATAGAGGCTGTTCAGGCCTGTTTTACAACCCAGCATGTGATAGAGGATGTTCAGGCCTCTTTCACAACCCATCCGTTGCATGACCTTTATCTGGAATGATCTTAAGCAAGAGTTAATAAAAGATAAATCACACATTATACATCATAATAGTTCATTAGAACACAACCCATGAAACACAGAGTATAAATAAAATATTTCTAACAATTGGTTAAATTACTATTTTGTTGTGTTTTCTGGATGTATTTGAGTTCTTAGGTTTGTGTTGGTCTCCTTTTCCCTAGCTCCTTTCTAGAAGCCACTGTTCACACCTGCTCCCAATCAGCTCGTTAGTCTTGCCTTTGTTCAGTCAGCCATAAATACTCTCCCTATGCAGTTCCTCAGTGCTGGGTTCTTGTCTTTCCCCGTCTCCTAGTTCATGTATTCCCTGATGTCCCCATGGTTCTGGATTTGTCTTGCATTTTTAAGTTGGATTTTTGGATTCCTGTCTCTGTTACCTGCAAACACTCCATTAAAACTACAAGAACCCACCTCTGCCTCTGCATTTGGGTCCTCCAAACCTTAATCAAACCCTGACAGTTTGTGCACACAAATTTTGCGATCAAAGAAACTTGATTGATAAACATTTATCATCTGCAGTGGGATCACTTTTATAAAGGCAAGTATGCTGCTTCATAATATGAGTAATGAAAATACCTCAATCGATCTGGGAAATGTCATTTCCAAACAACCGGAAATCCCCTACTCCACAGCAGTTATCTTAGGCCACGTTCACCCTGCAGCCTTAAGTGACCCAAATGTATTTTTTTTGCCCACATCCGACCTGGATCTGATCTTTTCATGGCAGTCTGAGCAACACAGATATATTTTCCAATGCGACCCAGGCCACTTGGCTATGTGGTCCTGAATCTGATACGAATCTAATCTTTTCAAATGACCTGTGTCTAAATGGCCAGGTCGCATTCATCCGACCTGAACGCAATTAGTAACCAACATAGGTCACTATTCTGCGTCTTGCTACACACAAGCGGCAAGAAAAACACCATGGCGGACAATGATGCGGAAAGCAGTATTTTTTTATAACCATCTTGAAAAGATGGTTATTTTAAGGTTTTGAAAGATTGCTAGATGTGCTCCGTTACTACCATCCATGTTTACTTCCGTAAACACAGAGCACACTGGCTTATGATGTTATTGCGTCCTCTACTGCGCATGCGGGACACATAAGCTGTATGAATGCAGTTTACACAGGAAAACACATACAAGTCACATATATTTGGAAGTGTATATGGCAATGCAAAATATTGGATTTCCCCCAAAAAATCGGAATTGAGCATTAAGGCCTGCAGTGTGAACGTAGCCTAAAACTCTCATAACTGTTGTCCTTTATTATTTAGATATGTTCATGTTCCAGGACAGCTAAATCATATGGCTTAAAAATCTAATATGGATATTCAGATATATATTTATAAGCATGTGGTTTAATAACAATAACAACTATAGGGTGTTTAAGGCCTTTTTTGGGGGGTGCTGAAGCACCACTAAACGTAATCAAGGCATCCCTAAAATATGAGTTTTTTTATTTTTTTTATTCTGTATGCCCTTCCAGCCATCATCCCCGATTCCCCGACCGTGGCGGGAGACTATGTGAGTCAGTCAAACATTCCCATTCCCAGTCAAATGGCAGAATCCGTCATGGGAGGATAAGCCCCTACACGGATTGTACCACCGAAACAGCGATGATATCTGGAATTTCTACCAATGGCTTGCAAAGCCAGACTGAAGGACAGCACAGAGGCACTCATCATGGCTGTACAGAAGCAGGAGCAGCAGGCGAAGCAGGTGTAGACCGTGCAAAGAGGCCCCTTAGACAATCCAGCACATAACTGCGGGGTGTAAGATGCTGGCAGGGAAAGCTAACATGGAGCGCCATAACTAATAGGCTGGAATACAGCAGAGGTCACGGATTAACAGACCAGGGATTTTCTTTATTCGGACCCCGCTGATTTACAATTGGAAACACCTCCAAAGATGGTAGATAATGACCAAGCCAAGATCCTGTTGGACTTCCAGATACAGACGGACCGAATGGTAAAGGCAAACCAACCGGACAGTGTGGTGGTGGACAAAAAGCAGAGGAAAGCCGTTGTGGTTGATATAGCAATACCAAGTGAGTGCAAAATCAGGAAAAAGGAACATGAGAAACTACAGAAATACCATGGGCTGGGAAAAGAGCTGAAGAAAACCTGGAAGGTCAAGGCATCACTGGTGCCCGTGGTCATTGGGGCACTCTGGGCATTGACCCCCAAACTTGAGGAGTGGTTACAGCAGATCCCTGGAAATACATCAGACATCTCTGTCCAGAAAAGTGCAGTTCTAGGAACAGCAAAGATACTGCGGCCTCTGGTAGAGGACCCAAGCTTGGAGGAAAATATGGAGACCGCCCGTTGTGGGTGAGGAAGAGTTCTTTTTTTTCTAATATATATATAAACTTTCAAGAACAACTGTATATATTCGCCTTGTTAAATTCAATCAATTTTATGTTTGTCTGTCTCAAGATGGAGAGGCAGATACAGTAAGGCTAAGGAGAGCAGCAAAGTGTGTGCAAAGTGCAAGGTCAGGGAAAAGACAATACAAAAACAAATGGAATATTAAAACGGCAAACAGCAGTTGTCAAGCTGACAATGAAAATATATATCATGGAAGTAGTTATTGCCCCATATTTAATGCTTTCCAGAAGCACCCATACACTTAACATATCAGTAGACTTCTGCCTAAACAAGAAATCATTACATTTCCCTAATTATCTGTATGCTTTACCACAGGCTTAATTTCACTACACAAGGAGGAGGAGGAGAACAGGGAGATGAGACAGAACAGAGCAGGGAAAAGGAAAAATAGGAGACAGAAAATCTCAAAATCAGTCTTTTGCTTCAGAGGACAAGACTACTGGGCCTAACTTATGCTACGTCCACACCTAATGCGCTTTGGGCAGCAGAAGCAGCCGCTTTAGAGAGGAAGACATGCATCAAGGCGCATTAAAAGGTCCAGCAGGAACAAAGCAGCATCTGAACAGCAGAAGTGGCACCTCAGGAGTTTCTAAGGTACATGACGCACTTCACAAACAGCAGATGCTGGAGTTGGAAAAAAATTGCATTTTTGTTGCTTGAAAAAAAATCAACCAATCAGATAAGCTGATCTGCGAGCTGGCAGGGAGACGGATACAGCTCTGCTAATGAAGAGGACGATGATCACTCCTCTGAAACATTTTATTAATGCCTAAATTAACAAAATCTCCAAACCTGCCGATGTGTTTGCTTTTATTATTTTGATGATTGCAATTTGTACTATATACCTGAAAAACACTAAGATCTAGTTCAAACCACCACAAACAGAAGGGTAAAAGCCTCAAGAGGCGACCTGGCCTGAGGAAGCTGCTGCTGTGGATTCCCAGTGACAGTGCACCATCGGTATCTTAGGGTCTGCACGGTTCCAACAGCGAAATATTAGTTTAAGGCAGGATCGTAATATTGATGAGCTGAGTGCACAGACGACACTTTGAGGTGGAATTTGTCAATTAAAATATATCAGAACTACCTTTAACCAACTGATCACAGCAAATATAGTAAAGCCACTCTGCCATTGGCCACAGGAGCAGCAGAAGCAGCTGACGTATCTGTTCACCTTTATGAGTAAAAGCATCAAAAATGA